CCTATATCTGTTCTTATTAATGTAACGAAGAGGATCTTTAGAATAGGTCTTCCCACATTTCAGCTGCTATATAAAAAGCCTCTGGAGCATTTCCAGTTCATTAATGATGGGGGAATGCTGCTCCCAAGAGATATTTTGCATTGAGTCTGGGAGAACTGAGGTGGAGACAAGGATCTGGAGAGCAGAACCTACCCACTCCCACCTGCATGCTTCAGGAGTCATGCTCCATCTTGTGCTGTCTGTGATGCAAGGAACAGTTGAAGCCCTGCTAAAAGCCCAGCCCAAATTCAGGAGTAGAAAGTGAACCCGCCCAACTCCCTGTGGTTAGAACATACTCCTGTGAAGGAAGGGAGGTGGGTTCAGAACCCTGAGGCTGATAAAGGAAACTAATTCAAACATAGCATTTGCTGGGCAAGTTCCCTCACCGCAGAGCTGGCATGCAGAAGGAGCAGGCTCTGTCCAAGGGGGAAACATCCCTGTGCCACCTCACCAAGGAACACCAGTAGCTGGTTAAACACATTGGGCTTCCCTACTGGCTCCCTGCCCCATGCAGGGTGGCAGCTTCCTGATTGTCTTCATGTTCTGAAACTTAATAGAGAACATTGGGGTTTGGTTCACTTTTAGGTACAGCAGTTGCCTCCTCTCCTTGTCATGGGCATTGCAGTAGCAGGGAAAAACTCCCATGCAGTACCCTGTACAGGCTCTGAAGTGCTGTCAACACCTGATGGACATCCTCCTGTCCTATGACTGGTCTTTCCATGATAGCAGTGCTGGTTTCTAACCCCTTCTGATGATGGAAAGGGGGAGGCCTGGGCTGCTCTGCCACATAGGAATGCTGACAGCCTCGGCTTATTTGGCAGCATCACTCAAACTGCAGCAGAACCTGCATTTGTGAAGTTCTCCCAAACCTCTCTAGGCCAGTTCTGCGCACTAGCCCTTGAGGACCCAATCAGAGCCCCAAAAGGGATTATTGTATCCCTGACAGGAACCAAGTTTCCTCATCCCCAAGCCAAGAGGAGCTTGAATCAGTAACCTTTGGGCACAGTGCCTGCGAGTGTTCCTGATATTGTTTACAATCACAGGAAACATTTCAGATTGAAACTACTCAAGGCAGAGTAAAGCATTGCCTACAGCACACATTTACCAAAACCTCAGTGTTGCCCATTGACTAATGAGACCTTGGGGTCACTTCAGGTGCTACCAGTAGCTTGGTATGACATGAACCATTGTGTTAAACTGACAGATGCTCCCACCCTGTTGTGGGCTGGGACAGCAGAGATCAGATACAATACGTGCTTCTTCATTTTCCTTCCTTGAGCAGCAACACTGTACATCATCACTGAACAAAACTACAAAACAAGCTGTGCTGTTAGGATGCACGATGATCAGCCACCACACGCTCCGTAAAACTCAGCACTGGAGCACTGTGCCTGACCCAACTGCAACCACCCAGCAGCAAGCTGCTTTTGTCACGTCTGCGTTGGGTTTTCTCCCCAGGGGCATGACTTGGATGCAATCTGCAGTTTTAATGACCAGTCACTAGATCTTGGAACACTTTTACAATTGTTCTCTCAGCTTTACTTCCCTGAATGACACAGAGGGAGTTGTGACCTCAGTGCTTACCCACTTTCCCAGTATATTGAACAATCAAACATTCTCAGGGAACAAAACTGATCAGCAGATCAGCCTAATTACCACACTACTGCACAGTGAGTCAGAGCATCTCTTCAAGTGCCTGTTCCTTAGAGCAGAGGGAAAAAGTGTCTACATTAGTCTCAGTCTTCATCAGCACTTTAAGCAACCAAGGCATTATTGACCTCAGAAACCTCGATCTTCCCCATACTCTGATGAAGAGGTATCAGTGGATCTAGCAGTCAGTGATGGGAGGTCATAGCATTATGGTTGTCCTCTCCAGAAGGGGCCTCTTGGATATGAGTTACTTTAACAGCAAGAAGCAGACTCACTCCCCCTGCAGTCAGACCACTTCGCTGACACCTGAAGCTAAAGTCAGTCCTTAGAGCTCACACCACCTTTGCCCTCTCAAATGCTCAAGAACTCAACCTGGATCCAGCGGTGTACAGAGAAGCTGTCATCAGGCTGGAGCCTTAACTAGACACCTGTAAAGATGTCTTGCAAGACAGTGTGAGGGTTTAGGTGCTCAGAACTGACCCCTGGGAACTTAATGATATAACAGAGGATTCTTCAGTAACTGACTGGTTCCCACCAGCTCACTACAAATCAGTGACTTCTCAAAGCTGAGCTCCACAGACAGCAGATGGGTTGTGCAACAGTGTAAAGAATGGCTGGTTTCCTACAGGAAAAACACAAGACCAGATGTATTTCACACAGTGTTATTCACACATTTTCATTTTGATTTTTTACAGTATATACATGTGAACATTACATTATTATGAGCCACCTGGAGTCAAACCTAATCAAACTGGTCCATAAACAATCTATATCAAAAAGCAGTACTTGAGCAAAAGTTCTAGTGGTTCTACCCAAAGCCTAAAATAGTTGAAAGGAAACCCTGTGATTTTCATGTTCCTGGATAGAATTTGTGCAAAATGATTTCAGGAGAGCATGTGGAAGATTATGTTCAAGATACTTAAAGCACCAAGGGTGATAGTTACAGGACTGTTTAAATTCAACCATGGCAGGAGCGCTACAAGGACAAAGTACTGGGACATTTTCAGTTTCTGCCTGGACATCTCTGAAAGCCCAACTTATACGCTGATGGGAATGTCAGCTCTGTGGAGTACAACACCCGGCGTTTGTACACAGAATAGAGGGTCACTGAGGAGAATTAATGTGTCCAAGGAAGTGGCTCAAAAGTCACCCTTTATGTGATGAAGGGAAAGCTCCAGCTCCAATGGCAGAGCTTGTACCTCTCTAGAGGAATTTTGTGAACTGCCATGGAAAATCTACTTGGCAATTCGAATTGTGCTTACTAAGAATAATTAGTGCCCTCCATGTGGGCACTAAAAGACAGATTCAGAAACTGGAAGTAGGCCAGAACAAACTTTCCCATTTGCCTATTGATGAGTTAATGCTACCATTAAAAAAAGCAGTGCCTCAGATGTATGCTTTAATACAAGTTATGTAAACCTGGTAAAAGCAGTAATACAACAGAATTCCCTATACGAGTTTATACCACTACTGTTTTCCTTCCTCATGATCAAACCCCTACCCTAACACCCTTTTATTTGATCAATGCTCAAGACATTGCATTCAAACTATCTTGGTTGATCAAAACTTTAGGATAAGCCATCCAAATGAATATTTTACACAAAATACTTACTTCAACAACATACAAAGCACTTTCTTTATCTTTCAGAAACTGAATATACAAAGTAAGCTTTTTTCCAAAATATTTCCATAGGCAAAGGATTAAAAAGGATTTTAATTATACACATATGGTCACAATTCTGCCTTAAAAAGATCATTGGGAAATGTACATAAGGCCGCTTGTAAATGTACATCATCTTTACGTTACTGTTACAATGTCATATGTCCAGAGAAAAAAATTGACAGTATCATACATATTTGCTTTATGCTGGGAGAAGGCTATTCAAAAATACAGTACTCTTCTGTACAAAAAAAAATCATGCCACATTTATTAAGATGGAAGAAGCATTAGTTTCTGTGATAATCAAATATTTCAGTCCATTTCTTACTATGCTTATTATCCCGACTTAAAATTTGAACAGATTGATTTCCCAAAGTGTCCGTATTAACAGAATCAACAGCTATGTTATAAACAAAACATAATGTTCCTCACAAGAGATAAAAAGAAAGCCGGTTCATATTTCTGAAACCATATAAAGATAAAATTTTAAAAAAATCACTCTTGATTTGCTGAAATAAATTTACATTATACAACACTATATGCCAGGGGGGAGAAGAGGGAATAGGGATATGAATATACACTAAAATGCAAATTTTTGTCCCAAAAAGGGGTAAAACAAATTACATTTACAGCATGAAGGTTTACAAATGTACATCTGTACAACCAAGGTAAGCGTCACTACTAAATTAGCAAGGCTTGTAATAAACATCGAAACGAGAGATTTGTTTTCAAACTGTAAACTTACACCTATTAACTACACGTATACAATGCATATATTTATAGGAAGCAAAAAAGCTATCTGAATATTTAATCAATCATGCTTAAATGTTGAGCTATCAAGTTTACTTTTCAGTGGCCCCTTTTCATCAATACCTATTTTGGTTTTGCATCTACAGTGAGAAAGCAAAATAAATGCTCAACACTTTCAAATCCTTACAATTAATTCTATATGCAAAATAAAAAAATACAAATCTCTACTCTTCCTGCGTTGTAAAACTGACTGTAAAGTTAATACAGGCTTCACTGCTCTTCCAACTGTGTACTTTGCTGAATAGAAGTACCACCATCATTTTAATCCCTCTACCTCATACAACAATTAAATATATAAGTATATACAGCACTTTCATTTTTAATACATCGCTAGAGGAAGCCTTAGGGCACCATTTAAAAAACACCTGTATCTACAGCAAGTAGTTAAAACTAGTCTTAAAGTTTCCACTGTTTTGTTCACACCTATTTTAATTTGATGTGCCCTGTTTATTATTTGGATAGTATGTTGTGAACCACCAAAATACAACTTAACTTTTTGACATGTTAAATAATGTTTATGCAGCTGATCAGTTTTTATCTGGTATAAAAGACTTCACAGAAAAGGGAAAAAATAAGGATTAATTCTATATACAACTCTATAAACCTGTTGTGCTATGATGCTGGGTAGACCTACCAGATTGCAAGCCAGTGTATTAAAAGAATACTGTACTTTTTCCCTTTAAAAACTATCTCAGTGACTTTACAAGGTAAAAATTTACAAAATATGTGACAGCTATTTTGATACAATTACATCATATACAGGCATTCTGTGCTTTGCCAGCCATCCAATCTGATAGGTCTCCGGATCAGGGCTGGAGATATTTTTTCTTTTTTTTTTTTAATAATTCACTCCCCAAAAATATACACAAGAATAAAAATTTTACAAATGGATGAACAAAGTCAATAAATAGATTTAAAAAAATCAGAACATTTATAGTTAAGTTGTATGCTTTGATCATTCACAATTCCATTTTTCTTCCATTTCTTTTTGCCTTTTACAGCATCCCATTTGGTGGTCCACCAATTGGCCCCAGATCAGCACTGTTCTTCAGGTAATACTTTTCCAGCTTGGCCAGAATGTGTTTGCCGTAGGTGTATTTACGCAGAGTTGTGATGTGGGGTCGAATCTGGAAGAAGAAGTATGTTACAGCTTTTTTCTCTTGCCCTCAAAAATTATAAGGAGAACTTACTACACTTTAAAAATATTATGTAAGAAACAAAAAAACATCTGAAGCCTGTATTTCAAAATTTTGGAAGTTTCTGGAAAGATGCCAATTGGTGATTCTGACTCACCAAACAACTGCTGTACCTTTCACAGGAAAAGGGATGGAGGCCTCTTGTGGGGGAGCCCTCTTGGTGACTGGGGGAAGCAGAGCTCCTGCAGGAACATACAGGCCCTGGGTTTCATTGCCTTATGGCAACTATGGCAACAGCACTTTTGTCCATGTCTGGTTATTCTTAAGTAGAAAATGGGCCTGTATGTTAGGAAGGGTAGGAATATCTTTCGGGGGAACTGCAGAATTCATTAATACCAGCAACCAGCAAATAAAAAGAGAAACCTATACTTCTTCTGTTACATTAATAAAGATGACAGATAGTACATTTTCATATTATTTTCACAGAAAAGCTGGTACGAATGGAGGATATGAAATCCAACTTGTGAAACTCCTCTGTGGATTTCCATTTTTAGCATAGTGCTCAGATACCTGAACGTATTCTGCTTTATCAAGCTCCACTGAATTTAATGTTTAGACATCAAGTTCTAGATTACAGAACTAGCGAGTTTTATACATAGAAGGAAAGGTATTCTAGTGGAAAAATTAGCACAGACGTTTTCTGAACCAACACAACCACATACAAATGTACCTTGTGCATTATTATCTTCCGCTGAGCAGGTTCAGCCATATCAATCATCTTCTGAACAACATAGTTGGCATACTGGTCCTTCATCATGGTGTATAAGGCACTGTGAGGACCATCATTCTGGCAACAGACCTCATCAATAAGTAAAGCTCGCTCAGCACGAGAAGCGTGAGTTACACATTTTTCTACCACATTGCTGAAAAATAAGACAAATGCATTCTGTTACTTTGGATGTAACACTCTTAAGCAGCACTTATAAATTTATCTGAACAGTTCAAGTGACTTAACACAACTAAAAAGCATGCTATAAGTGGATCAAGTCCTGATTTCCAAACCTTAGGTCTGTAATGATTAAGGAAGCTAAAGCATTATACACCCCTACTCATGTAACAAAACAAAACAAAAACAAAAAAAATTCCTGATAATTATTCTATGTGGGAGATTTTTCCACTGGACCTACAGCAGATATACTGGACCTTAGGTTGCAGATGTATTCTAGTACATCTGTTCTGGTTGCAGGCCCTTTTAAGGCACAACAGAGAAAGCCAGATATGAGGCTTTCTGTTTTTTGAATAAAGATCAGAGATACTGCAAATACTTCTTTTTGTAAAGGTGGTCTCTGACGTTCTAGGTATTTCAAAAGCTGGAAAGGCCATCACTGCTCATCAGACAGCAAAGTGATTCTGGTCCTGTGTTTGTGCTTTAGAAATTATGCAGTTCTATTTAAGCAAAGAAAACTAAAATCCAGATAAACTCGTCAGTTTATATACAATTGATTTTTAAAACAAACACCCCCATAATGTCACAGTGCTTTTCTACTTCATGTTATTGACAAGGTGAGTCTCACTAAATCATCTGGGATGAATTCTGAGGTGTGGCTCCCTTAGCAAAAGGCACATAATCTACAATTCAGGGAAAAGAAAAAAAACCCAACTCAAAACACTGAAGGATAACTTTTAGGTTCTGATTTCAGAGTAGTTCAGGACTCCTACAATAGCCTTTCAGACTTCCTAATGCATAAAATCCTTGCCAGGCTGAACCAGCACTTTCTAAGGTAACCTTCTTATACTTGTAAATGGCTTGGCTGGACAGGTAAGAATTTCCCAGTTTATCAAACAAGTTTATCAAGGAAGTCCCACGTACCAAGCAAGTTCTAGGAAAGCTTTTCACCTGTCTCTGGGGATGTACACAGGGAGACTTGGAACCCATTCCCTGCACTTGTACAAGGTGAACAAAACCCATCCCATAAATGCACGGAATTTTCTCTGTTTTGATACAGAACAGCACTTTCCTTTCCCCAAATCTAGTATAAAAATACCACTAACATTCATCTCTAAGAATACGAGATTTCCGGAGGGAAATTACATGTCTGACCTCCCCTTCCCCCTTTTTATAACGCAATAAATCCAACACTACAGCTTTAAAAATCAGTGAATGTTTAACATGCGAAGGCTGTGCAATACCTGGCAAATTTGTGCTGACTAAGAGCTAGAACTTTTCCTCTTATTTCTGAAACTATTTTACTCTTGTCTTCAGGACGGCCGTGCTCCAGTACATGTTGAATAACGTAATTTCCATATTGATCCTGAAAATAAGATGACTTCAATATTCTATTGTGTTCATAACAAGCAATCCACACATCTTTTGTGTATTTATGTAAACTTTCAAATTACTATTTGCACAGATATAAGGAAAAACACCATAATGTCAACATTATAGAAACAAAGTGATGCAAGAAATACTGCATGGAGAATTACTTAAATGGACCACAAAATTTACATGCCAAATGTAAATAATCTGTAAACCCAGCATTTTGCTGGAATACCTTTTATCCTCTTACAGAAGGAAGATCTCAAAATTAAGATCATCATTCTTTAATAGCCATAGTATCTCCCTGAACTTTGGTTCCCCAAAATGTTTTAACTAGTCTTGTATACACAAGAAACCACTGAGAAATAAACTAGACTGAATATGTAGAAAAGGCAATTGTTGGCTTTTTTATGTGTCGAAGTTCCTACTGAACACCAAGTCCCTTCCAGGATTTTGATTTGATTCAATATTTAAATCAAATATTTGATGAAATATTTGATTCCATTTCAAAGCCACTTATAGCACTTATTCTGTTCATCTGAAACCAAGACAGGAAATGATGCCGTATAAAGTCTTTTGCCTTCTTTTAGAAAAGATGCCCTATTTGTGTAAGAATACGCAACATTTATATTTTTGTATTTGTGTTCAGACATTATCAGAAGTTATCTGAAGAACATGTGAGTGAATCAAGATAAACTACAAAAAGGCAATCTTTCCAATAAAAAAATACATTATCTCCATGCATTTACAATGTGTATTTGAAGCTACAGTCAAAAGTGTAACAGAAGGGCTTTTTATGTCTTCTTTGCCTCCCAACTTCCAAATTCATTTTCATTAAAACTATGGAAGGGAGAAAAAAAAAAAAAAACAAAACCCCAAAAATGAACATCTACAAAACTAGGAAGAGGCAAATGCATTTAAATTATTTCTTAAAACTAACACATAGGAATAAATTATGGCAACACCCAGCTCTGAAACACATTAAAAATGAACACACGCACTAACCTGCACTAGCTGTTCTGTATGTTGATGCAGTTCTTCTAAGATTGGCAAAGTCTGCTCAGCAGTACAGTGTTCTAGAATACGTTGAATTACTCTACAACCATATGGATGAGTTGAAAGTACAAATACCTTAAAATAGGATAGCAAACTGGAGTTTAACCGGCTGAAGTTTACAGATATAGTAATATTACCGTGTTCAAAATAGAACTGAACATGCCAACTACTTCTAGAAAAAAAGGTTTTGCCTGCCAATATCAGAACTCCATCTCCAGTGAAAGTCAGAAAAAGATGAAAATGCAGGTTTGTGTGTGTCAAGGACTCCAGCAATTATACAACTAAGAACCCAAGTTTTCATTACAGCACACTTAGCTGTAAAGGAAAGCCAGGAAGTACGACGCTTAGTTAGGCACTATTCACCTTTCAAATTTTCCTTTTAACTTCATAGTTAATTTTCAAATTTAAGATTTTTGACATTTATAAGAAGTTCAATTATTGTGGCTGATTTTCACTAATTTTACATTGCAGCATGTACAACAGGCTCCCAGTTACAAACTTGTGAATAAATATTCAAAACATACAGTCAAAATCTTGCTTATTCCTTTTGCTTGCTTCTGCAGAAGCCAGGTTTGTGTTTCAGGGATTAATTCAGAAGATTTATGAGTCAATATTGGGCAGAACTGAACACAGAATCTTGTCTGATTAGATACTGATCCAAACGATGCATGAGAGTGAAAGAGACGCCTTATTACATGACATAAGTGTGGCATTTCATTGTCATTTGCCACTTCAAACTTGGAGCTGAGGATGGATATCCAGTAAATAAACAGACACATTTTAGTCAGGGGACTCTATTTACAGTTAAGAAACTGCATCTCATCTACCCCATATACACTTTTGATGTAAAAAGACCTGACCTTACAAACCTTGGTATGCCATTTACTACTATGTACAACAATAAATTCAGGTATTGCTATTGTGTAAAATGTGAGAGAAGGATATTGTAGATTTTGTTAAGAAATACATTTGGCCATCCATTAAAGTAAAATCTAGTAATATAGCCAAGTTAGTAAGATTTTTACAATTCTTCTTGAGACTATAAAAGTTAAAGTATTAAAATCTCATTTAGCTGCAGCATATTCTTTAGCCTGCAGCACAATATCAATCTTATTTTAATAACTTTTTTTGGAAATGAAACAAACCCCCCAACCTTAAATAAACAAGTACCATCCCCCTTTATTTAACACTAGTCCATATGTAGGGAACACACTAACATAGTTCTTCAAAGTTCTTTCCTTAATGATAGACATTAACTGGGAAACACTGAGAGACGGGCTTGCAACAGAAGAAAATGGGAATTTTAATGAAAAATAAATACTAGAGAGCAGCTGCTTTATTATTACATCAAAAATGACAATCTTAAAAGTTATAAAGGAAATTTAAAATGGCATTATCACAAGACTCCAACGGAAAGCCTGGCCTTAAGCCAAATACCTTTTATGTATTTGTATTACATCCATTGGATATATTTATAATAAACCCAAACAGGTTTTCTAGAGCCTTATCTCCAAGAGATTCATCTTTTACAGCGTTAACTTCTCTGACAGCTTTTACATTTTATCATCTCTTTTTCATCCTACTTAAAACAAGCTGACTGCAAAGCTTCAAACACTATCTTGTATATGCAAATGATGGAGAAAGATCTGCAAGTCAAAGCAACCCTACAGAAAAGGAAATGAACTGTTGACACTACCTGTCCTTTAAATGCATCAATGATGAACTGGAGCGACTGGGGTTGAACACACTCAATACATTTTTGCACAACGTGGTTTCCATTTTGATCTTTCACACATTTCAGAACATGACCATCCAACTCT